GGAAGAATAAAAAAAACCCGTCTCTGATTGGCCGATAAAAACGTATTTATCAAAATAACTTTGCAAGTGATGTGTGACTCTCCTCTTTCATGGGTAGTAGAAAGACTGGCTAGGAAACGTATGTCACGAGGGTAGATTTCTTATCCCCGATTGGTTAGTTCGTGCACCAAGATGGCTTTGGATGGTTCCATCATCATAGTGAAAATTTTTGACAAAACGATGGCAAAAATGTGGCGCAAACCAGTCGAAATGTAGGGTTTGTTTGCCTGCATATTGTTTTTTACGAAGTTTTTAGTGTTTGTTTCTATTCATAACTACGATCGACAGATCTTTTAAGGATAAAATAGAACCCTTTACGGTTGTGAGGGCATGCTAGGTAATCAGGACAAGATGGTGGAAAAATAAAAAGTTTGTGTGAGAATACAAAGTCATTTAATTCTTGCTAATGGAATATATTTGTCCCTTTCCCTTGAAAAATGCAACTAATGAGCTTAAAGAAACTACGCACTAAATCTGGAGTGCGTAGCAGTCCCTTGTTACTTTTTAGAACACCTGAGTTCTTCCATACATTTTGTGTAATCCGACTACACAAAAATTACAGATAATGTATGGAAGCGGTCAAATTTTCTAAAAAGCGACAAAGGACTATGCACTCCACGTTTAGCGTATAGTTTCTTTAAGTTCATTAGTTAAAGTTAGCAAAGAGAAAGCTAGTGACGAATATATTCAATTAGAAAGCATTAGTTGACTTTGAACTCCCATACAAACTTTTGAATTCCCCGCCATCTTGTCCTGATTACCCAGCATGCTCTCAAAACCATAAAGGGGTCTATTGTGGCATAGGCATAGTTACAGAGTGAGTGCCGTAATTTTCCAGCCATACGTTTTGATTGAAAATGGCTGAAATAACAAAATTCGGAGCTGGCGCCGAGTAAGTGTACGCACATGGTGTGTAATGTTGCACTCGGCAGACTAGTTTGTGTTGAGAACTGTTTCGCTCAAGTAATATATCACAAATTAACCGTGTTTGAGAGCCATCATGTGTTTTAGTATTGGTTAGCGTTCTTCTCTGAAGCGGTCTATATCTGAATCACATTGATTTTCAAACCAAAGATGGACCTGATGAGAGCTATTATTGTATTCAGGTTTTTGGAGATCCAAAGCAACAATGTACCTGTTGATAACAAACCTGACCAAGATGTATTCTAAATAAAATTAATTAACAAATATTGCTGGAGCCGGAATGGGCTATTGACTCAGAGGCCATGAGGAAGAGTGGAATAATTGTTTTAGTAAAATCCAACTAGCTGGTCAAAAATATCGAGACAAAACAACTAAAGCTAGCAAAACGCGATTCAGCCGCCATTGTTTTGGTTTTCAAAGCCGGGACTTTTCGCTACTAGTGGGCTATGACATATAGCCTAGTAGTAACTCAACCAATCAGAACGCAGCACTGATAATAGACCACTAGTTGGATTTTACTAATAAAACATATACTTGTACTTGTTTGGGTATGGAATTTTGTTTTCAACAACAAGATAATATGACTTTGAATATGATATTTTTTCAAGCCCGTATCACTTACCTCCCAGGCTAAATAAACAAAAGCCCTGGATGTTGCTGAATTTTTTTTTTTTTTTTTTTAATAAACAACTTTTTTTTTTTTTTTGGGAAAGTGTTAATTTTTTATTTAAAGGGGATTTTAGGATTTCCTTTTTCTTTTTTTTAAAAAAACCACACTAAAAAATAAAAAATTAAAGGTTGTTTTACCCCGAAGAAGGTCAGGATTTTAAAGGATTTCATTTTTTTTAACCTCATTAAACCTTATAAAGTGAA